AGTTATATGATGTGAATTGAGAGCAGTGAATCTACAGAGATGTTTTTAGATTTAGAGGCAAGGAGATGAGGGCAGCTTCCATGCCCTCTGGGAAGATTTGAAATAATTGTTGGGGAGTTAGGAGAGGCAGGTTGAGTGGGCTATGACTTGAAGAGCGTGATGAGGAAGCTTGGTACACAGGTGGGTGGCACGCAGGTGGGAAGAGAGAAAGAGAGATGACCTGGGCAAGTGAGGACGGCCTGCTGAGAGTGGGAATTCTGACTAGGAGAGGCACCAACATGTGGGGAGCTGCTCCCTTCTCCCACAGAGGTCATGCCGTGGTGGGAGTATTTAGCTGTTGGGAGGGACCCAGAGCCGAGGCTAAATAGTGTGGAATGAAGATGCCATCGCTGTTAAATAAATGTAACTGAAGATCAAGGTTGGATAAAGAAAGAAATGAAACTGGAAGAAAGGGCTTAAAGCAATGGATCTCCCAGGGAGGCAAAGGTAGATACCATGGGACCAATATCTTATTTTCTCTCTAGTATAAGGTAGCCTTCATGCAAAACACAAGTTCAATAGATATATAAGTAAAAATGAATGTACATATATTCATCTAGAGGAACTGTATAATATAGACTAGCATACCAAGAAGTTAAGATACTTGTAATATGTATCTGTACTCCCGAATAAAAGATGGCCTCCCAATTAAAGTGTTAAATATATTTTGAAAATAGGATGCTGGACTTTCTGCCATTGTCTATAACTACAATATCATGATACACTTAAATAGTAGAATGATAGAGTTGTGGCTGTTATTGAAGGACTATACTATTGTTAAAATATAGGGGAGAAGGGTTACGGTGAGAAAAGAAATGGGGACAATGAGAGGGGAAATATTTGAGCCTATAGAACTATATTATGAAAAATATGGGCCTGGCGTGATAGCGTAGTGGCTAAAGTCCTTGCCTTGAACACACTGGGCGCCAGTTCTAATCCTGGCAGTTCCACTTCCCATCCAGCTCCCTGCTTGTGGCCTGGGAAAGCAGTGGAGGACGGCCCAAAGCCTTGGGACCCTGCACCCGCGTGGGAGACCTGGAGGTAGTTCCTGGCTCCTGGCTTCGGATTGACTCAGCTCCAGCCGTTGTGGATGCTTGGAGAGTGAATCATCGGATGGAAGATCTTCCTCTCTGTCTCGCCTCCTCTCTATATATATATCTGCCTTTCCAATAAAAATAAATAAATAAATCTTTAAAAAAGAACTGTATCATGAAAAATAAAATTTAAAGAAGAACATCATACCTTCATCTCAAACACTCTCAGCGCCAGCCCATTGACTCATACTCAGCACTGGGAAGGAATGTGAAATCTGCTTTCTTTTTTTTTAATTTATTTATTTTTATTGGAAAGGCAGATATACAGAGAAAGAGGGAGAGGCAGAGAGGAAGATCTTCTGTCCGATGGTTCACTCCCCAAATGGCCTCAATGGCTGGAGCTGAGCCAATCCGAAGCTAGGACCAGGAACTTCCTCCAGGTCTCCCACGCAGGTGCAGTGTCCCAAAGCTTTGGGCCATCCTCCACTGCTTTCCCAGGTCACAAGCAGGGAGCTGGATGGGAAGCGGGGTTTCTGAGATTAGAACCGGCACCCATATGGATCCTGGAACGTTCAAGGTGAGAATTTTAACAGCTATACTATTACGCTGGGCTCCAATACTTCGTTCCTTTTTGTGACTAATTACTATTCCATTATATGGAGAGATCACATTTTGTTTGCTCATGAACACATGGATTCTTCCTACTTTGTGGCTATCATGAATAATATTACTATGAATGCTTGTATGTCAATTTTTCCATGAGCCCTTATTTTCATTTTTCTTTGGTATACTTCAATGCCTGGGAATGAAATTATTGGGTCATATGATAATTCTGCTTAACCTTTTGAGAAACTATCAAACTATTTTCCAAAAAAGTGAAACCATTTTTAATTTCTTTCTTTTTTTCACCACCTTGTGGGCCTCCTGTGATCCCTGTTAAATGAGATCTAGGGAGAGGTGGAGGAAGAAAAGCAAAGGTGCTTTGTTACTGAATCACATGAAAACCAAATCTAGAAATGCCTGCTAGTTTTTAAAAAATTGCTAAACTCAGTTGTTATCAAGGCCACTGGGGTCCCGAGAAGGGCCAAATCGAGTGGTCACTGTGAGTCCTCATGTTAGTTGTCAGCAGCACCTGACCCTTCCTTCCTTTCCAGGATTGAGGCCCTAGGTTTCCTGTCAGGTGTTGGCTGTTCCTATTCAATATTTTCCGTTGCTGTAGCTTCTGCCCCTTCTCTCTCCTTCCCTTCAACTCCCCTCAATTTCAAAAGCATACACACATTGAGAGACAGAGACAGACCGATAAACTCACCGTCTGCTAGCTCACTCCCCACATGTTCTTAATAGGCCACCAGAAGAATACTTAATCTCTGGAACTCTATATAAACAATGTTTATGCATAATTAAATAGAACTCTTAAAAAATCTTTCTTTTTTCTTCTTTTTAAAACAATTGTTTATTGTTTTCCATGATACATTTTGTACGTTTAGGGATTCCCTCACTTTCTCTTATAAAAAATCTGCTTTCAAAAAGGCCAGAAAGAGAAGGCCATGTTTTAAAACAACCTACTTCCATGTCTGTTTTCTGGTTTATTTATTGGTCTTTAAGCTGAGCAGGAACAGTATGCCATGAACTATTCATGGCACGTATTGTACTATTTTGGCCCCCACATGATCATGGAATTTCATGTAAATGACCTGTCAGAACCTTATCCCCAAAGCTCTGATCTAGGTAAGCCCTGACTCAGAAACTTGGCATGTCACCAGTTTATTAAACAAGAGGATTGGAATGGACAGACTGTATATTATCTTCTTGCTCCACTCTCTGCAGGACCCAGAAAGACCTGCTAGTGTCCACCTGAGATACCAAAGTTGCTACCTAACAGCTTGTCATATATAAAGATATTGGACATAGTGAAAAAACTTTTGGCTTACATGTTGAAAGTAATCCTATCCTTGCAAGAACTGGCATCCCATATGGGCACCAATTCATGTCCTGGCTGTTCCACTTCCAACATAGCTTCCTGCTGCAGTCTGGAAAAGTCGTAGAGGATGTCCCCAATCCTTGAGCCCCTGTTCCTGCATGGGAGACTTGGAAGAAGCTCCTGCCTCCTGGCTTTGGATCAGCTCAGCTCCAACCATTCTGATTAAGTGGAGGAGCATCACATAGAGGCGTCTTGGGAAGAGGGCTCCAGGCAGAGGGTATAGCAAGTGCAAGGATCCTGAGGTTAGGATATACCTAGTGAGTTGTGGGAAATAAGAAAGGACACCAGCATGGCTATAGCAGAGTGACTGAGAGAGAAATTTTGAACTGATATCAGAGTTAATATATGGTAGACCAAATCATGTAGGACTGGGGCCAACATAATGGCTCAATTGGCTAATCCTTTACCTATAAACACTGACATCCCATGTGGGCACTGGTTTATGTCCCAGCTACTGCACTTCCCATCTATCTTCCTGATTATAGCCAGGGAAAGCAGCAGAGGATTGCCTAAAGCATTGGGACCTCATATCCTTGTCCAAGACCCAAAAGAAGCTCCTCCTGGCTCCTGATTTGGGGTCGGCTCAGCTCCAGCTATCACTGCCATTTTGGGAATGAATCATGAGTTGGAAGATCTTTCTGTCTCTCCCTTTCTCTGTGAATCTGATTTTCTATTAAAAATAAATAAATCTTAAAAAAAAAAAACTTCAACATGGAATCCTGTTTTTCCACTGGCCAGCTCTCTCACACAAACAAGTTTTTTTTAACCTCTGTGCATCTCATTTTTCTCAAGAATAGAATGAGAATGACAATAGCATATATCTCCAGAGGTACTGTGAATATTAAATTAAATGATGCATGTAAAGCCTTTAACATGATGTTAAATGGCTTGGAAGAATACCATAATACATATGTGCTAACTATCCACATAATTACTATTATAAAATGATTATGAGAAGAATGGGTCCAAATGCTACATGTTTGCTCTCTGTAGAGCTGTATGGGATAATATTCAAAGTGTGTAGAAATAAAGAACATATGCAATTGAACTTTTAGAGCCACCATTTCAGACATTGAAGATTTCCAAGTGGGTCATGAGGCCATAAGTTTTCAGGATGGATTGCAGGTCCTGCCAATCAAATAGTAATATTCTTCTCACCCTTGGAAGACATGTCTCCAAATGATTCCTTAATTTCATTTCTTATTGACGCGGGAAGAATTTCCCGTTGGCGTATACCTAGTGATCACCCCTGTATTTGCTTTCCTTACCTCGTATAGACCTCCTTTACAGCTTCATTTATTTCCCATACTTCTCCTTCCTCTCTTTAACCATTTATTCTACCTTACCTTTTTTTTTTTTTGTAATTCTGCTCTCCCCTTTAGTCACAGTCCTTTATTTGCCGATATTTATTTCCTTGATTACTATTTATTCACTTTATTTGTTGTAGTCCTTTTCCTTGATTCAATTTTGTTCCCTTTTATTTCATATCACCCTTCCTGTTTAGTCTTTCTCCCACATAGTCCACAGCATCTTTATTCCATGTTATCTTCTCGCGTTAATCCTATATGATTCCTGCTCCTTTATTTAACTTCACTCCTTCCCCTCTATCCCACTTTACTGCCTTCCTTTTAGTGCACCCACCCCATCTTCTTTACTCTATGTCACTCACACCCTTTTATCCCACCTCATCCTTCCTTTGCCCCACCTCATCCCTAGTCTTTATTTTAGTCTAATTTGTTTTGCCCCCCTCCCCCTCCCTTTTAGTCTATGCTACTCTATCCCTTCATTCCATGTCATCCCTCCCTTTATCCTCTCTATCCCACATAAATCCCCATTCTTTTTTCTCTTATCCCCCCCCTTTTCTTCAGCTCTCCAATCAGAGCCTTCCCAACCCACCTTCCAATTTCTCAAAAAAGAGGATAAAAACACACAGTAAGCCATGAATATGCTGCTGTCACAACACAGATGTTTATTAATGATTAAATGCCAGAGAAGTTTTAACAATCACAAATCTTCGAGCTCTGTGGTTGTTACCCAGTGTATGATCGATTTCTATCCCTCAATACAATACATTCTTCATTCTATAGATTTAGCGGTTGTTACCCCTCAAGATCAGCTGTAATTTTGTATGTCAGACATAACCCATACCTGTGTGTTACCAGTGCATGTCCCGCAAATTTGTGTGTTCTGTGTAGAGGAACTATGGTAAAAATAGGTATTATTTGTAATCAGGTGACTTTAACTACTTGGAAAGATGTGTGTACCTAATTAACTGTTTTTGCTGACAACGACATGTGAGTGTCAGCTACCTTTAAAACTGATCCAGGTAATAAAATCTAATTTTACTTCTAAATTTTTGACCCAAGAAAACTAGTTAGGATTGTACTTGAGGTTTCCCTGTTGGTGTGACCTGAGCAAAACTGCACAGAAATTTGGGAGTGGCTCTTTGATGAGCCACCAAGTCTAAATAATTGAGGTGGATGGGAAATCCTGAGGCGATGGAGTTACTGCGGGGACACGGCTATGAGTTGGTGTGACACAGTTCAGCATTAATTGTTTGTCAGCTGTCAGAAGGCTGACCTAACGTTTCAGCATGCCTCTTGAGGGCCTTTCCAGTTGAGCTCTCGGAAGGAGGGTAGGAAAGTCAGGAAAAACATGCAATCCCCTTTGGGGGAGGGAAAGCACCTCGAGATTTGTGAGCTTCTCTGGGACAGGCATTTATCACAAATGTTACATCAATTAAAGGAAAGGTTGCAGTGAAAGAAAGCCAAGATCAAAGGTAAAAGAGAAAGGCAAGGTAGCACCAGGGAGCTTGCGTACAATACAGAAATAACTCTGCCTTTACTGGCTACAGAGAACAAGCTTCCCCGGTGAAGGGATTGGCAGTGTGTTTTGGAATTCCCGTCCTGACCCGAGCATCAGGTGGAACTCCTGCTCACCCTCCAATCTTTGTTTCTCAGAGTCCCCTTAACGTTTCTTGTGATATCTGATTTATCCCCGCCCTTTTCCCCTAGCTATCACCTTATAGAAGGAAATACATCTAAGGCAAGAAGTAGCCGATGCCAGATTTGCCCTCCTTCTCTCGGGGCACACGGAGCAATGGGCGATCCTGCTCCGGAATGGGGAGATGATCCGTTTCATCCTCATCATCACGGGAAGGAGAGGCGCTGACAGGCACAGTGGACTCCTCAGAGGAACCTGGAAAACAGTCAAAATGTCAACTCCTTAAATTTCATACACAGCACCCGAAACCTGTTTGAGTCTCAAAAACAGTATGAAGCAAGAAGATATAGCAGAAACGATTCCCCAACATTTGATACAGGGGAAAACTTCAACCTAACAGTAGAAAACAGATCTCTCAATCTAGGTTCACTGGGAGGTGTGAGTTGGATTAGGGATCAGAAAGAGCACAGGAATCCTATACTCAAAGCAGATGAACAGGGGAGATGGGGAAAAGAGCAAGCTCCCAACAGGCACCACTCTCCTACAGTTTCACTAATTTTACTGAGCAAGTGAGTAACAAAGCTGGAGCTGGAAACTTACAACAAAATGGGAAAGAAAAGGCAGGTATCCCTGTTAACCGACTCTGGGGAGGATTGAGAGTCCACTATGTAGCCAGGCTGAGAGCTGTTTTTAAGAAGAGTGATATCTACAAGAAATGTTACTCTCGCATCTTCTTTGTGGAACCCAATTGTTCTAGAATTCTGGACTTCTTAAGGGCCCAGATCTATAGGCACTGCGATTTCTTCCACGTTCATTACTTTTTCAAAATTGATAGCCAGATTCTGGGGTTGTGAGGGGAGGTCTGGAATTTCAGTGAAATGTAGACATCTTCAGCCTCCAGGGCCACAATGTTAGCTGTGTCTGGGGAGTCCTCTTCAGAATCTTGGGTTTCATCACTGCCAAGGCATTTGCATGATCTGAGATATCATTAATGTCTAAGTGCTCTTCATTACCTGGGATTTCATCAGTGTCCACAGCTTCTTCATTATTCGGAATCACATCAAGGTACGGGACTTCTGCGATGTCAAGGCTTTGGGGGTCTTCAAACTCTGGTCCTTCATCAATGTCATCGTTGAAATTTTCTCCAGCGTTCAGGAGATCTTGCTCGTCTGGAGCTCCTTCAGGTTCTGGAACCATGTAAAAAAATGGCATTTCTTCAAAATCTGGGATCTCAATGAGTTCTAGAATTTCAACCTCAGGCTCTAAAATATTTTCAAGGGGAGGGAGAGCATCAAATTTCAAAATACTATCATCATCTTCATCAAGCTCTGATATGACTTCAACATGTGGGCCTTGAATGTCAAGATCATTTGGGAACCTCAACAGCTTGAACTACCCCCAAAACTACTCCTTGATTCAATATTCAAACACTATCTCTTCATTGAATGATAGAGCTTCCTCAGGGGACTCAGAATACCCTGACCTTCATCAAGGACCTGAACTCCCATGGGGAACTGACCTTCATCAAAAGGCTTGCTTTGAGCAAGGACAGCAGCACGCACTTCAGCAGAAGTTTCCACAGGATCAGAAAGTAGCGCATCCTCTTCCATCTTGATGCGTGCACTCCTGAATGGGAAAGGAATTTGGAAAAGTGCCTGAGTTGCCATACTTAAGTTGATTAAATATTATTTTGGGTAGGAAGCCCTCCGAAAAGAATATGCTTCAGGCAAAGTATAAACAACCTACACCGCCCCCCGCCCCAAAATCACTTACTGGATCTTCCTCAAGTTCCTGCGTCTGATAAAATCAAGGGCTTCAGGGCTGGACTTCCACACACGCTTAGCCACCTGTCTCTGAATATGTGGAGGCACCTGAGAATAAAACCGGCAACTATAACCTTTACCACTCAGCTCCTTTTCATTTAGACTCATTTCTTTCAGGTATCCAGGACCTAGGACTGAAGGCACCAGGACCATCCAACACAGGAGGCATTTCTTAGCTGGGAGAGTTTGCAGCTGCCTGCTTTGGCTGCCCATGTACACTTCTCTGCTTGTGAATGGGAGCAGGATGTGTAAAACAAGTATATTTAAAACTTTTACCTACCTGGAAGAGGATATCCCAGTTATCAATCATGGCGCGGACCACGTTGACGGAAGCAACGTAGTGGTCAATCCCCAGTTTTGTCTTCCTGGATTCCCTCTTACCAAACTTCCCCTTCTTCAGAAGAGCAGATCCAAACACCAAAGCCAGATTGGTGGAAGTCATTCGGTTGCCTGGAACCTAGGTAAGTGGAAGCAGGGATGATTGACCCTCAGGCAGTACATGTAATTGTACAAATTGTACCTGTTTCTCTTTATTCAATTCTTTCTACTCCCTCCCATGCATATACCACATCCATACACAGATGTTCCCTAGTCTAGTTCTCATTATCCTTTCTCAGATCTGTTTACCAGCTGCCCATCAACACCAATGGAGTCCTCGCAGTTCTCAGTGATTTTGTGCAGGGCCTGCAGCAGACGCTCCAGGGTGTCACTGTGGCAGGGTGGCATCAGGTACACCAGCAACTGCAGGGCAGACAGCTGATCCTGGGGCTTCAGAGCTAAAGGAAGGAGAACAGGCAGGTCAGGGCTGGGTGGAGAGCGGGATGGTGGCTAGCCTTAGCAGCAGCCTGATACAAAAGAAGCTGAGATTCAGCTTGAAAACGGATGATGACAGTTATGGAGAAAGTACCCAGGCCACCTGTCTTTATTTCTAAAGCATTTGCACTCAGGAGCCCTGAAAGAAGAAGCACGTCCATCAACATCAGGTCTCCACTGGAGAACCTAAGTTCCTCTTTGCCCAACAGGGCACACACAGTTTTAAGAAATGTTCCAAAAACAGACTTCAAATGGAGCATCGAGAGCTAGTAAACAAGTTTACTGGAGAGTTTTCTTTTTCTTTAAGTTTCTATTTTAAATTGACAAATAGTAACTGTATATATTGCAGAGAGGTATTTGTCTTGTGCTCTTCTGGCCTCCCTAATCCCGTGGGGTCCTGTAGCCTGAGCAACATCCCTAGACTCCTTGGACCCTGGCACTGCTTGCTCTCCTTCCCCAACCAACAACTCACTTGCAGTCAGGAGGAAGGACATGTATAGATCATCTGGGAGCAGAGAATCCTTCATGTCACGGAAAAACTCCTTGAGGAGTGCAGCCACGTCATGCACGTTCTGATTGTCATCTAGCACTACATCCAGACCTTGGTCAAATTCTTCACGGAGCTGAAGAAAAACAAAAAAAGAGAGATAGAGAGACAAGACATGAAATGTCTGCCCTGCCCAGCACAGGCTCCATCTTGTTTATTCCTTCAATAAATCCAGGCTTCCATGAACCGAGACCACAATATGATGTGCTGGGGTGGGGGGGTGAGAGCTAGAAAGAAGACATTGCTTCTCCTAACAGGCATGAAACGCTTGTCAGGTGTATGGCTGGGCGGGGGGGGGGGGGGGGGGGGGGGGGGGGAGGGGGCACCTCCACTGATTTTTTTTTTCTCACCCAACAAACAAGCATGTGTGGCCATTTTACCTGACTCACTCTCAGTGCAGAGTATTCGAGGGTGAAAATCCCCACGGTGCTTAAGCCTGGGAAAAAAAAGAAAAGACCAGGGATTGTTCAGCATCTTGGAACTTCTTCCCTGTGGCATTTCCCTTCTCCCCAGCTGTATTTCAGGCTCTACTGGGAGAGGGGGGCAGTGTTATTCAAACCTTTCCCATGAGGACCCCCTTTTCCCTTTTTCTAGAACACTCTTCCCTTCCCTTTAATCACCTCCTTCCTTTAGTTAACTGTTTCCAGCCCCCTTACCATGTTTTTCAATGAATTTGCAGCAAGTCTCAACAACCTGGGGGATTTGTTTAGCAATCGGATTGAGACTCATCTTCCTCTTGGATCCCAGAAGGCGCTGGCCAATGGGAAATGAAACCCTGGAAAGTTGCAGGGTCTGGAGCAGCAGAGCCCCTCCCTCCAGCTCTGCCAGGCTGTCAACGGACACGGCACCCTGTAGAGAGAAGCCCATAAGGCCCTTAGCATGGGGGGAGGACGGCAGTGGAAAGGGGGAATACTCAGACCCTCCAGAGCACGGGCTGACATTCATTACCAGTTCTGTCCAGTTTTCCCGGCCTGTGAGGGCACAGACCTTGACCCCTCCAGCCCCACAACCCCTCACCCCTCGGTAGGTTCCCCTGCTTGAAACTTTGGGGGAGGGGGATAACTCACTCGACGCCCACGGCGAGTAAACTCCCTGGGCAAAGAGGGCTCATTCCTCCTGCGGCTGAAAAAGCGCCGGATGCGGCCAAACACCCTCTGCACCACGTTTCCCCGACGACGGCCGGCACCCTGTCCGGTGGCTTCTTCAATCTGCATGGTAGCTGTCAGTTCCAGATGTTTGCGGCGGGTAAGCTCGTTCACCAGCACCTCTTCCAGACGAATGCCAAAAGTCTTGAGAGAGACTGCTTGGAGAGGCAGGGAGAGAGGCCCTACGTCAAAGCCCCGCGGCGATAAAGGCGGGTTCAGCACTGAGCAGCCCGCGGGCACTACACGGGCTGTAACTCCCCCAAGCTACCACCCCCTGCCAACCCCACCTCCGCAGCGCCTGGGGAGCAAATCCAGAAGACCCTCGACCCCCGCAGCAGTGCCTTGATCAAAAATCTCAGCCCCAACCAACTACCCCGACGGGGCACAAGATCCCTGCCGCCGGAAGTCCTACCGGGCAAACCACCTGGAAGCAGTGAGGGCGGTTTCCTCAGGTTGATCTGTCTGGGCAGGGGCCAGCGGGAAGGTTTAGGCAGGCCTGAGAGGACCGCCCCAGGCGCCTGCAGCTATTGCGCCATTTCCTGATATCACCCCCAAGGGGTTTCTGGGAGGGAGGAGGGGTTTCTCTGGGGTCAGTGGACACCTCCCAGTCTTCTAGAAAATAGGGGCGCCCCAAGATGGGGAGAATGGGGGACGCCAGCATTCAGTTTCTGTCCTAAAGAAAGCGCAGGTGCCCTCACCGTTCTCTTGTCCTCTCAAAAGCAGAAACCACTTTTCCAAGGTGTTTGGATGGTCAACGGGCAGAGCTACGGGTAGAGAAAAAGAAAAAGAAAAAAAAAAGACTCACACCCACACCCAAATAAGCTTTTACAAGTGACTAAAACATCGCTGTGTATCCACATGCCACAAGGGCGGGGGGGGGGGAGTTCTGGGGAGAGGGCATCCTTCCAACCCTCACAAAGTGTTTTGTGTCTTCTCTGCCTCAGTTTCCCCTCCTAAGAGAGCAGAACCAATGTCTTTTAGCACGCACGAGATTCCCAAGAATTTCACCAAACCAGAAGATCTCAGGCGCCACGCGCTCCTTAGATCTTGCTACGCACTCGTAGTCGCTCCCCAACACACTTTCCAACAGAAATTCCCGGGCTCTGGCGCCCGAATCCTGCAACAGGCTAGGGGAGGGGCTGCCCGCAGCGCCACCGCGGGTCGGGGTCGCCAAGTTACGGCCGGCGTGCGTGATCACCCGGATTGCCGACGGCTCCGCGCGCTGCGGTTCCGCGAGAGAAGCAGCGACACCAGACTGTCCCCGCGCTCCGAGAGCCTCTGCCGCGGCTGCCCGCGGGGTCTCTTCGCCCCTCGCTTCACTCCGCTCAGTGTGCGCCTGCCGCGAGTGCCTAGCAAACCCGCAGTCCCCTTGCACTTTCCAATCCTCCTGGAGCGTCCCTCAATTCAGGCGATTCCTTCGTACCCCTCCCCGCCTTGGCTCGGCGGCCAGATCTGCGTCTAGTACCCCCGAGATTCCCTCCCGAGGTGCGCTCGAACCCGGTCTGGTGCTGTGTCCCGCCGGCTTCCCCGCAGCCGGCTCTGTAGGGTAGCGCGCGCAGAGCACCTCCTGCCGCCACCCCGGAGCCCGCACCGCCCTCCCGATTTTCTCCGGGTTTCGCGCGTGTCTCTCTCCCCATCTCGCTGTTTCTCTCAAACGCGCTATCTCTGTCCGGGTCCTCTCTCAAGAGTGTCCCTCTGCGTCTCTGCCCCGATCTGCCCGATTCTCGCACCATACCTGGTCTGCTTGTCGCTTCCCCTGTCCTCTGTCCATCTGTCTGTCCCGGACATCTGTCTGTCTTACTGTCCCCCTCAACCCACTTCCCGTCCCAGACCACCCCAACTCAACTCATTTTTACCTTCTCCGAAATTCCACAAACAGCCTTCAACTCCCGCTCCCTCACTTCCCCAAGCACCAGGAGAACCGATCAGGTCCCAGACTAGGCAGGAGTCCCTCCCATCTCCCGGGACCCCCCCCCCCACCAAAGTCCGCCCCGTCTAGCCCCGGGGGATCCACTCGCCCGAAAGCGAGGACGCCACACTCCGGGGTACAACTCACCCCTGTCCGGTTTGAATTCAGAGAGGAAATGTCTGGCCACGAGTTCGTGGTAAGCAGTCTCTTGCAGCTTCAGGCGCTCCAGCTCGGAGAGGCTGTGTATAGATACCATCTTCGCCCGGCGGTCAGGGTTGTGTCCTGGGGCTCCACCCAGGACACTCACTAAAAAAATGAAGGCAGAGAACAACAGCAAAAGGGGCATGATTCTGGGGCACAGTGTCCTTGCTGTCTTCCGAAAAGGAATGCAGCCACCCATTCTGGAATCGGATGATTATCAAGGCTGCATCATCCAATTGTCACTGGACCTGGTGGAGAGAACTATAAGGGGGGTAGGGGAGGAGGGAAAACTGGGAGGCGGCTTCACCCTCAAGCTGAGCTGCCTCTGGTTGCTTATTTAAAAAAAAAATCCAACTTAAAAAAAAAAAAAAAGCCCTGAGCAGATAAGAGGAATTCGAACTGGCAAAAGGAAAAAAAAATGTTTTTAAACTTTCAATTTCTGAAAAACACTTTGACATAAGAATAATATAGTATTTTAATCAACTAATTAGAACACTGAAAGAGTTTATTTGACGTGTGATGATGATACTTGGTGCTGTCCAGGTTGAATAAAAGGGGGATATTCTGCTAGGCTGGAAGCACTGTAAATTTATACAACTCCTTCAGAAAACAAGCTGGGCACATAGGTCTACAGCCAAAAATTCATCCCCAGTCCCTGTGACCCAGTCATTTCACTTCTAGGAATAGATCCCTAGTGAACTTTTCCTACAGACAGGAAAAAAGAAACTACATGCACAGAGGCTGTGACAGTTAAAATTAATTAATTAATTAAAAGAAGAGGAAAAAGCTAGCCCAGTAATAAGATTAATTATATAAATTATGTAATGATCACAGTATGGAAAATCATGCCATCATTAAAATGATGTTGACAAAGAGATTTTGAACAATAAATATTCCAGCTTGTGTTGATTATAACTGTGTGATGGGAAGCGTGCAAGGTTGAAGGAAATGTACCCAAAATCTAACAGCCTCTGAATTAAAGTAAGATTTTGTGTATCTTTGCCTTTTCTTATCTACTACAAATTGTACAACTTTATTACATTACTTTCTGTGGGGGGAAAAAGACATTTGCACTAAAACAAACTAATATCATTGCCAGACCATTTCTAGGAGACTCTGTACATCAAAGTGGTGATCAGAGTGAAGTTTGTCTCGATGTGATGGCAAACCTGTTCCATATGCCCATTCCAGGTGGAACCCACCACCTCCTACTTGTCCCTGGACTGCATAATACGCCTCAGTGGGTCTTTCCTCACTCGCCACACAACATGCTTTTCTGCACATTCTCTGTTATCCATTTGTTCTTTAATCCATTCATCCAAAGGGGAAAAAAAAACAGACCAGATACCTACATTAATTGCCCATTTTGTGCCAGGCACTAAAGATGCAAAGAATGAGCAACACAGTACTATTTTTTTCCAGACAAGATTTAACAGTGCAGTGAAAGAGCAACATAGGTTATCAACAATATACAAAACCTTGTGACAAGTGAGTCGGCCGAAACATAAGCAAAGTGTTCTGATAACTAAAAAGAGAAAATATCAAACTCTGCCTGGAGACAAGGGGTGGAGGTGGTGGGGGCGGCCAGTGTCCAGAGAAGAACAGCTTGTGCAAAGAGAAAGAAATGGGAGAGAGGTCATCTTCTAGAAGCTTTCGAAAGGGATTGGAAGGAGATAAATCTGCATAGGCAGGGATGAGCTCATGAATGACCCTATAAGCCATGTTAAGGGAGTTGGACTTTCTCCTGAAGGCAGCAGGGAACTGCTGCAGGGCTGTATGTAGAGTGACGCATGGGTTGCACTTTTGAAAAAATCAGAGCATCTAAGAAGCTTACTTAGAGTAGGGAGCACCCAAGAGGCAAAGGATGCTAGTCCACGCCAATATCACCAGGGCTGGTTGAGGATGACAGAGGATGAATTTGATGGGTGGGATTGACAGGGCTTTGGTGGTAGTTTTTATTGTAATGGAGAGGAGAGAATTTAGGACAGCTCCCAGGTTTGGCATTTGGGTGAATATGTACATGCTGCTTGCCAACAGAGAGGATATATTGGCACGTGGGGAACTGATATCTTTTGATATAAAGGCAAATATTCATATACCATTTTCTCTGATGTTCCATTTCTCATACAAAATTTACAATAATAGTCTATATATTATTTAGAAAACAGAGGAGCTTAAATTTCAAAGACCAGGTAATGTGGCTTTGACAAAGGAAAGGTAAGTAAGGCAATAACCCAGATAATTGAGCGATCTTCCGATCCTCTCCCCCCCCACCACCACCAAAAAAAAAAAAATCTCACAATGAATTTTGCCTCCAAAATTCTCTTTTGCCTACTTTTTTTTAAAGATGACAGACGTACTGGCCAGATAGGAGGGGCGGTACAAGAAAGGATAAGGGGTCTTCTATTAGCTTTTGAACTAAGCTAAGAGAAAAACCCCTAGCATGGATTTTAAAGCACCATCCCCTAGACCCAAAATGAACACCTAAGTACAACCACCATGCTGCAACCACAAAGTGACAATTTTAACCAAAGGTACATGCATCTAAACAGTCTCAGAATAAGCCTCTAACCATCCCCCATTCAAGATAGCAGGTCCAGAGCCCTTCAGTCCAGGGTCTCATCCTGGCACACACAGCCAAGCTCTGGCTTAAATTTGCTAACATCCCTCTCCCCTCTTTTTTGCCCAAATACAGTCATTTTTGTACCTGTTTTGGAGTTCCAGCTATTCCTTCATATCGAGGTTTACCAGTTCTGGTAAACCAGAGAGCAGAGCTGATTCTTTTCCCTCAAAGCAGGAGGAGAATAAATCCTTCCCCTCCCCCCCAAAAAACAAGGTAAGAGCAAGCAGTAAAACCTCAAATCAACACCAGCCCCAAAAATGAGAGAGAGAGAGAGAGAGAGAGAAAGCTTTTGAGAGATGAGTCAGCCTCTATACTTACAATTCCGTAGGAAATCAAAGGCCTTAGAATAAACCGTTTGTCATTCCCTCCCTGCTCGAACATACAGGGCTAAACTTAAGAGCAGTCATCTGCTGCAGTTCTGCAAAACTCACACTGTCGTGCTTGCTGTCAATCTTTGCAAAGCACCAATAGGATATTAGACAGGAACAGAGTTAGGAAGCACAGTGTGCCCAGACCAGAGGCACTGGGTGGAATGCGGAAGGGAGGAGTAAGCACCTTAGGCACTATGAAACAGGCACAGAACAGGCTCTTGAGAGTTGAGTATCCCATTGGTCCTCAGGCCTGACTGACCAAGCTGAACACAAAAGGAGGCTTGCTGTAGAGAAGCGTCAGGAGATCTCTTTTTGCTCAAAAGTGTTTTTCCCTTTCCCCTTCAGCATGCCACGGCACAAGCCTCAAGTGACTTATGAGACCAAAAAGGTACCAAGAAGGAGGGGAAGAACAGCCTGGCACAGGGCCTCAGTCTTCATTTTTAAAGACTACTGCAAAAGCAGTTATCTTCGAGAAATTATCTGTCTGGACATTAGAGTTGGAACCAAACAGAGCTGAGTTCAAATCCAAGCTTCATGGTCTCTTAGCTGCGTGATCCTAGGAAATGCAGTTGGATTCTCTCAGCCTCAGTAGCCTTTTCTGTCAAATGGGGGAGACGACCCATTTAAGTGGCTGTGTGAGAGTTACATGAATTATGTATGAGTGATATTTAACATTGGTTTTTAATAAGCATGTTGATACTAGCAGTTCTTTGCAGAAGGCCTGGATTTGCTGGCAAACTCCAGGCTTCAAAAGTAATTACATAAAATTAGAATGTGTATCAAGGCATTGAACGACCTACTCTGTTCACTCTACTACATTTGGATTAATTTAACACAGGCAAGGAGATCTCAGAAGACTGTTGGGAACAGGTCTTTCTACTTCACGCTCCAAGTTCATCAAGGTCAAAGATTTAAATATCATCTTATAAAATTTAGGAGAATTGACTGTATAGGTCAATTGAAATCAATGCCACTAGTCAGGTTAGTAAAATGGCTGTTTATCCCAAAATTAATTTCTCTTTCAAACCATCCAATTTTACATTGTCACTAGCAAAAGAACATATAATTTCATGTGGATCAGTAAATGGGGCTAGGATATAATTTGAACAAAGAGCAGAAGGACACCCAAATCAAGACCCCAGCAGTACAAAAGGGAAAATACACTTGGGTAGCATCAAGCCCTTTCCTCACATAGTCACAAAATGCATGGCACAGATGGTGAAACAAATTAACATCAGAAAGGTCACCTGCTTTGGCATTGTGAGGACGAAAATGCTTTCAGCTAGGCATAAATCCACAGTCTTCACAATTTGGAGGGCTAATTTACTCAACTGGCCCCATCAAATAGTTGGGAATGGTGCATGCTCACTAGTAAACACCTATGAGAAAAAATCCCCGGCTACACTGGTGCTGTGGTTTGAATCCTTACAAATTAGACACTTTCTGGCATCATCAGAATTTTGCTCCAAGCCTCTGGGAGATCCTTAGAGTTGGAGAAATTGATAGTGAATGAGGCCTGATGCTCAGAAAGCATTGCAGCCACACTATTCAAATATCTAGAAGCAGTGACAATGGATAAAGACATCCCCATTAATACACTGCAGCATGAAAAAGAGATACAGGTCTCTAGATGAAAGCATTTGGGGCACCAATTTGGTCTGCGGACACATTATCTCATTCGTCCCTGGGCATTAATGAGTTAGCCTTAAAGTTGTTATCCTATAACCTCCATTTCAGTAAAGGCTGCAGATGCCATGAACAAAATGGCTCATTTTATCCTATGCCGTAGTGATACCCCGAGACAATTACATTTGGGGACAGTGTCCTGCAATATATAGAGTTAACCCATCATGCTACAGCAGATGCTCATAAACTAGAGACAGGATTGCTAAAATATATTCAAAACATCCCTAGCTTCAGGGAAAAAAACTCAGGAACTAGTTAACTATGGTTATGCTAATATTCTGATGTGAATGCTCTTAGAATGTAGTTCAGAGACAGAAAGGGACCTTAGCCATTACCTAGTCCAAAACTTATCTACAGTTCAGGAAATTGAGGCTCAAAGATAGCTTGGCTAGAACCCAGTTACGCTCAGTCTCAAGGTTCTTCCC